TACCAGGGCCAGCACTGTGCTGGATTTGGGCTCTGTGGGACAGGAATTTGGGAATTCCAGGAGCTCTGGGATCCCTACCAGGGCCAGCACTGTGCCGGATCTGGGCTCTGTGGGATGGGAATTTGGGAATTGCGGGGGGTCGGCGCTGTGCCGGATTTGGGCTCTGTGGGACGGGAATTTGGGAATTGCGGGAACCACGGGATCCCTACCAGGGCCAGCTCGGGGTCGGCGCTGGGATCCACGCCGAACTCGAAGTCGGAGGCGCCCAGGCCCAGCATGGCGCCGCCCTCGCCCGCCAGGATGGGCGAGCTGATGAGGGCGTCGGCCAGGCTGGGCCCCGGCGGCACGGTCACCAGGTGCGAGCCGCTGCCGTCCTTGCCGTTCAGCGCCGTGATGAACGCCGTCAGCTTCTCCGTGTTGGCCTCCTGCGGGCCGGGATTGGGGCAGCCGTGGGGCTTTTTACATTTAACTTTTCCTTCCTGGCTCTTCCCAAGGTTGGGAAGTTCTCACAGAACCGCTACGGCCAGCCGGTAACGTTTGGAGTTTCTACCAGAGCTCTTGCGAGTATTCGCATCAATAACGATTGGTTCGTGCTCCTCTTTGTCAGAAAATCAATAAACTGCCTGTTTGGCAGCGTGGCAATCCCATCTCCGAGCCACGGAACCTCCGGAATTCCAGGAATCCCGAGGCTCCAAGGGAACTCTGTGCCCTCGGAACTCCCCAGGAGCTTGTGCAGGAGAGGGCTCTGGGAACGCCAACTCCCAGCGGGAATTCGGCGATGGGGAGGGACGGGGCTCCAGGGAAAGGCTGGGAATTGGGGATTTCCCTGGAATGTCAACCTCGGAAAAGCCCCCAGAATCCTCAAGGATGCCCTCATTCCCAAAAACACCCGCCAGGATCTTCCGGCCCCAGAATCCTCCCCTCTGGAAGGCGGCAGCTCCCGGGATCCTCACCTCCTCCCCGAAGTTGATGATGTCCACGTTGACCTTCTCCTTCTTCAGGCGCTTGGCCAGCTTCACCAGCTGGGAAAAGCGGGAATTCCGCGGGATCAGCGGGCCGGGGCCGCGGATCCCGGGGGGCTCGGGGTCCCCCCGCCCCACTCACGTCCTTGTCGCTGTCGTGCACGGGGCTGCCCACGAAGGCGATGATCCTCATCTTGTGGTTCTTGCCCTGCCGGTGCTTCAGCGCCAGCTGCACCGAAACCGCCGGCTG